GCGCAACCGGGGGTGCAGGCAAGCCCGGCGGAGACCGAGGTGGCGATCATCGGCCATCACGTGATGATCGTGAACGTGAACGAGGGTATGATAGACATGCATCGAGATATGAGTGAGTTTGTTGACGGCCTCAATGATAACGTTTAACTGATGGTTCTTCCAGTGATCGTCGGAGAGATCGTGATCGCTCTCGATCGCCCAGCCGCAGACGATATTAATTCAGCAAGGTGTTTGATAGTGTATTACGCTTGGAAAGGGTTTGCAACCGGGGATACGAACCATGATGGGTTGCATCGTGGATCCGGTGAGGCGCCGAACTTTGAGACGATTGTGGTATGTATGTACATATAAGTCGAAGGTTCGAGACTTTAGGACAGGCCGCAGCATACAGTTGAATGCTATTAACGTGACGGCAATACTCGGAGTCTCGGAAGATCCGCTAGACTGGCTTCAGCACTTGGTTTCGTAATTTTTTGATTTCGAACTAACTTGAAGTAGAGATACCCATTACATTATTTTGGTATAATTATAATGAAATTGTGCCTGTGACAATTTAATCGTGACATTAACTGCATGCAATCTGCATGTTCCTTCACTTTCTTGTGTCTGCTACTATTTCGATAAAGCCGCGCTTTTATTTTGTGTCCTTGCATCCTCATAAAAAGCTTCTTGCATTCACCCTATCCCGCATCGTGGATCTTACTGACAGTCTGTAGCTTAAAATTCGGGCAGTCCATAGCATTTCGGAACAACAATCGCAATCTTTCTGTTCAAAGGTTTTCTGTTGCTTTCAACCTCTGCTGGACGCTCTTGTCGCCGTACCATCTCTTTCTGTAGAAAATCACGCCTTGATCTTCAACTCTTTATACTTTTTGCCATAGTCTTCCATAACGGATCTCCCAGGAACTTTGCTGTCAGCGGCTGCTCACTAGTTCCGAAGCACATTTCCTTGATCAATGATGTCCCCTCATGATACGCGGGACCCAAATGTTCAGATGGACACTAGCTGCCTTCAATCACCTTCCAATACCCTTTCTTTGGGTTACCCAGCTCTCGTTCCTCAACGCCCTGAGGATCCTCTCATACAAAATACCATGTCTCATACTCCGCGTGACGCTATTTCCATCTTCCAACGACGGGGCGACCCTAACGCTCTCCAACTCTCTCTTGCAGATACCTCTCCTTCCACTGGAGTGCATTCAATGGATGTACTTGATACGCCTAGCTCATCGCGTGCACCAGCGCCCGGCTTTATTTCTAATTTTCCTTGTCGAAATTTCTCATACGGCTCGATGTCGCGAATGGATAGTCATCTTTCCCTTCACTCCCCACAAAGCCCGACCTCGGGCTCCAGCGGTCCTTCATCCGCCGTTCATGGCGTGTCATCTGCATATACCATGAATACCTCGTCTATCATGGTCAATGGACAGTCTATGATTCAATCTGTGCATGCCGGGGCATTGGATTCTTCTGGGTCTCCGGGGGCTTTGGGCAGTTCAGCTTCTGAGCTGGCGTTTCCCCCTTTAAGCAATAGCTCATCAAAGCCGACACAAGACTCAGGTTTTATCTTCCCGCCCCCAGATGTACCTGATTTGTTCACTGGGCGCGACAGCTCGCCAGAGACACCCGGCGACTCGCACCTACTGGTCGTCGGAGACATACTCAAAACGTAAGTTCTCGTATCTTTTGCTTCAAGACCAAGAATAATTATGTTTGGGTAAATGCGCAGTATTGCGCACACCGCGCAATCAGCAAGTACAGCATGTTCTCGCGGTCAGGGTCTTGAGGCCAACGTCAGAATTGATGAGCTCAAGAAGACTATTACACTGGTCTCTGAGCTTATTGCTGCCACAAAAATTGCGGATACTCCAGCCATATCACGACATCCTTCGCCTCGACGCTTCTCTTTGCTGGGTGCAAATTCCAATGTTTCCCCATCGACACATAGCGCAGTCTCTTTAACGCAAGAGCAATTGGCGTCGGGCATGCACTTTTCCTCTGCAACAGACTTAGGTACTATGGATGGTCAAAGTAATGGTGATCTTGCAGACATGTCTCGGAAACGGTGTGCTTCATCAATGGCCGGCGACCGTGTTATCAAGGCGCCAAAGCGTGAGCCGCAAGAGGACACGCCACTTCATATTATCCCTCCGCCAGTGTCTAGCCAACAACCTTTCTCTTCTGCTGTTGCGGCCTCTATGACTGACATACGATCTGCGGCTTCATATGTTCCTGCAAATGCGCCTGCAGATTCAGCTTCCCGACCAACAAGCTCCGCTGGTCAACCTCCCATTTCAGGATATGGTTTGATTTCACATCAACCGCCCACCTCATCCATGGGCTTTTCGATACCCGTATCTTCAGCACCGCCTCCCTCATCTACGGAATTCATTTCAACGTCACCGCTATCGACAACCATACCTCATTCTACTCATTTCCCCCCTCCCCCCACCGTCCGGACCTCGTGGTCGGACAGTGCTACCACATTACCTCATCGCAGCCATCAACATTCACTTTCGGGAAGTTCCCTCAACGCCGGCATCAATTTTCATTCGATACCCAGCAATGGCTCGTCTCTCGGACCACTCCCATTTTCAACAACCGGAGCATTCCCTTCATCATCTTCACAGCCACGTTCTCTCACGAATACCGGCTCGGGCATTACCCCGCCGATCGGCAGAGTTTCTAGATCCGGCTCATTCACGACTAACAATGTAAATCCATTGGCGTTCGGAATATCCGAGGTAACTTCCTCCAATGCCCTTGATTTTTTGAATTCAGCACCTACGGCACAATCGCTTGGGTCGCATAGTCCAACTTCATCCCTTGAAGGAGAGCATGATGAGTCCGATGTCTCACATAGCCCGCCTGAATCCTCAGGATTGAGGACTATTTCTCATCATTCAAGTTCATCTCGCACTGTCACGGGACATGACGTTCGTTCAGGTTCTCTTGTTACACGACAATCTACAGAGAATTTGTCTCCGACATCAACGCAAGGGCACAGCAATGAAGTTCCGCAAGAGTATCGCGCGGAAGTCGACCGTATCTTCTTCGAGTTCTTGAACAGTATCTGTTCAAATTGTGAGTATTTCCTCCGATGATTTCTACTATTGATAACCTCTTTTCCTGTAGTGGATGCCACCGATGCAAAAGGGGAGCCGATACATCAAACACTAATGGCAAAGAAAATGCAACGTCTAGATGAGTCACCTGATTTTCGACCATTTAAATTCCGGATACAGGCTTTCACAAATGCATTTTTGGAAGAGGTGGGTAATCTTTGGAGACACGAGGCGATCGATGAGATATTGACGCCCCTGCAGCTGGCCAAACAAGGCTACCCAGAAGAGAAAATTCCTATGAAGAAGGCTAGCCCATGAAATCGATCATCTGATGATAACTTGACTGAACTTTGATTTCGTGCAGATCCGCAACTATCTGTGGAACCAACCGTATATCTCGCGCTTCAACGAGGATGGTAAAAAGACCAAGTCTAAGGGTAATCATATTTGGAACATAGATGCAAAGAAGAGCCCTCATGATGGCACTTGGACTTTTCGCCCTTTTCATCGGAAAGTGGCTGGCTCGCCGCCTGGTGTTGCTTACGTTGGCCTTCGGTGGTCTTGGGCACCTCGTATATGGGATCCACAGGCATCGCGATCGAACTTGATAGTTACGTACACTTCGCCGTCCCTCCCATCCTGGCTATTTTGGGAAGACGATGTGCTGTCAGGAACGCCTCCCCCGGATGCAGAGAGCTGTGACATCACGGTTGTAGCCCGTGTACGTTTCATCTGTGTGGACGTCCATTGTTATCTAATGCTAGCGGCGTAGTATGTTCAAGATGGGCAAGAAGAACTGCTGACGCAGACCTTCCATCTTAATATTGTGCCTGTCTCGAACCTTGACACCTCGTTCTCTGCCTCGCGTCGCGGTTCTATGAATGGGGAGATGCATAAGCCACGTCGGGTGACAAGTGAATCCTCAGTTCCTCAGGCATCTCCCAGGTCAGTGCCAGTCCATATTCGAGGACGTCCACTCTCACGTGTTTCATTCCAGGCCGTTGAGGTCCCAGCCATCGTCTGGTCTGGTGTCACCAGTTGCCACGCGTGATGCGCAAGTGATTCAGGTGCTGACGTCAGCTGCTCAGCGTGTCGCTCAAGAAGCTCAGTCTCAAATAATCTCTTCCGCGACACCAGGCGAGCCCGGCCCTGAGCTGCAGGCCCTCGCGAAGCAACAGCATGTGTTGACAATTACCGCACAAGCGTTCGACCAAGAAGTGACTGGTCAACAACGGTCGGAGATCGGCCCACAGGCAACTACTGTGTTAGCAGCAGCGGCACAACAGGTCGTATTCCAGGCTGCACGCCAAGTAGTTGCGGATCGCTCTGCTGCTGTTGCGAATCAGATCTCCGCGGGTTTCACTCCCCCACCTGATGCTGCTACACAGGTGACTGTTAACGAAGTGTCGGTCGCTACGCAATCAGCCGTTGCACAGGCTGTCGAAATCACTGGACCGTTATCCAACGAGGTTGACGTCCTGATGACTGCAAGTTCCTTGTTGCAACAGCAGATTAGAGCTCCAGTAAGTCCACTTTCAGCGATGCTCGATTCCGCTCAACGATCAATGCCCATGAACTCTCTGCACTCCCACTCTGCCGGGACACTACCTCCAGCCGCATCATATCCAGCAACCATGACCACTCAATCTAGTGTTGGTGTCGTTCATTATCCATCTGCTATGTCTTCTGGTAGTTTGTCAGACTTTGGCCGACTATCATGATGTTCCACAATTCTTTGCATATCTTCTTTAGGGCTTCAGGACTCATTATGTGCCCGTTGGGTTATCTGCTTATCTCACTTTCTTCATCAACACCTATAGAAATCCTGCACGGCATTCAATCATTATCGTGACTCAAGAGTGTAAAAGAGGGTCGATTAAGCATTATCTGTACTTCTATATGATACCGAGAAATCGCATTCCTCAAAGCTTCAGATCAGATCTGGGGGTACTCATGGTCAGACTGCGGCTCCCCTTCAGAGCTTACAGTAACGTCTGCAACGATATTTGGATGTGACGAAGCCAAGAGGGTACCACCAAAACCTCGCTCTTCCTTGCGCCTTTTCTTCGCACGATTAACGTCATCTGTTATTGCATTCTCGTCATCTTCTGCCTCTTCCCGAAGATCAAGGACATCGTTTATGAGAAGCCCAAGAGTTGCGACAGTGACCGAATTATCATCCAGTTCCTGGCCACAGTAAGACAATCGTTGACAGATTGTTGGGATCTTGAGCGCTTCATATAGCTGTGACGAAAGTCAAGGAACAATCAACACACAAGACAGGCACTGACCATCACTTTGATGTCCTTCACCGTGGTCGACTTGGAGACAGTGATCCGTTTCTTTTCTACACCATCCTTGGATTCACGTATGCGCTTTGACTGCCGCGTACCGAAGGTCCTATTAGATCCATATGTCATTTGAGGATGCTGACCATTCTCCTCGGATTTATGGTTTTTGTTCTCTTGCGTCACAACATCCTTGGATGCGTTTTTCCCACTCAACAGCCGAACAGTGATCTCAGCAACATCATAGTTAGACCGCCTGCGTGGGGTATCTGTATTGAAATAACAGGAGTTGAAATAGTCAAGAGTGCCCACCTCTTTGAACGACAGTCACGACACACGGGAACATCGTGCTCGAACTTGGTGTCAAATACGTTCGGTGGGTTTTCGACAAGTTTCTTCTCCAGTGTGATGGGGGAGCTGCATGGATACCTATAATCGGAACAATCAAAAAGACATATCGTGAGGTCCAGGTACGACACACAAATCTGCTAACAGCATCCACTCTGTCATTTGTACAACCGCAATAGACGTGTCCCAATCGTTTGGACAATTAGGATCGAAAAGAAGGTGCCCATGCTCACACAGGAATTGTGAATTATTGACACCTTCGGGACGAGGTCCATCTGTTGGCCGAGTGACCCACTTTCTCCACAAACGCACGAAGTGTGCAGGCAGGATAGCACACGGGACATTCTCGAGGAGCAGAGTGTTTCCTGTTAGGGCGTTGTCATGCATGTGACGTAGCCGTGCCTGGACCGTGTGAGCCGCCGAGCTCGTCAAGCCCACTTTCAACACACCTTCTCGTCTTCAGCTTTCCTCCGTAGCTCACGCTTGTCTTCCCTGGACATATTTATGGTTGCCTCACAAACAGCGCAGAGCTCTTCCTGAGTTGAGCGTGGTACCCATTGAGGGAACAAGCCTTTAATTATGTCACCAGCCTTATGACCATGTTTAGCGATGTTATCTGCCCACGAGATAAATAGAACAGGACTACCTGAGTGGATATGCTCTTTCGTGCTGTTGACACCAGCGACAGTTGACCATGTTCACACACAACGTGAGCGAGATACTCTGGGGCATCGGGTGATGCATCTCCTTGCAGCGGTGTGTGCATTTTGGGCTTCTGCAATCGCCAGTCTGTGAATGTAATCAGTAATGTACTACACACTACCATAGGACAACGAGTACCTTTGAGCCAATTCTTGGATATCCAGTAACCCGGTTGATCAGGGGTTTCATCACAGACCGCATCGAACTGTGCTACCAGTCGAGGATGTTCGACTTGATATAGTTTTTCTATTTGGGTAATGAAGTAAAATCACGGAAAAATGAGGCTTGAACTTGCCTATGAATGATTCCCTGACACATGTCTCACAAACGTCATGCACCTGGCATACCGGAGAAATTTCAGACTCGCTAAACTCAGCGAGCTTCTTATACGCGCTCTAAAATTTGGATTTAGTACTACTACGCAAGGGATTGCTTGATGTACTTACAGCGGAGACACGCTTCATATTGTTGGCTCTTTGAGGATCCATAAAGTCGTGGTAGCAAAGGATGTCTGAACTTGACGAAATCTCGGGTGTGGTCTCTGGTTCCTCTCCGCTCCTAGGTTTGGTTTTTGGCTTTGCAAGAGGTTTAGACAACCATCGTTCGAGAGCATGACGGCTTATGATGACGGAGTCCTAGGACAGCAATCGTAAACAAGTGAACACATAGAATGGAGGAAATCAAGCACCTCATCCATAGAATTGACGCTCCAAGAGGAATAGATGGCTTTCATCTTCCTGAGCAACTCATCAAAATGTTCCTTTGCTTCTTTTTCCCTAAAACACATGATAAAAAGGAATCATTTCAAGTATCAAACTGGCTTGCCTCTTTGCATATGCGTCACAGGCCATGTCATGGGCTGCATTCAGACTATTTACAACCTCCTGAGCGCGTGGGGGAGGGAAAAAACTTCCACCATCAATCGTCATGGCTCCATGCTCGGATCCTTGGCTAGCAATAGTCATTGGCCAGTTGGCGTTGTCTGGGGATGGGACATCCTTGCGAACATAAATAAGCATGTAGACGTCTTTCGATAAAAAGATATCCCTGGACGTTTTGAAAAACAAGGATGAAATCAGCGATACTTCAGCAACAAGGGTATGCAGTACTCAAGACCGTGCTGTTTTGCCTCAGGGATCTTAGGTTCCGTGGGTGGTGATGAAACTCTACCAATCATGGTTCAAAAAGACCTTGCCAGTAAATCTCTCAGTGAACTTACTCGACAACGTCATCGTCGCTATCATCGATCCGCCGCCTTTTCTTTGCGGGACGTCCACGAGAATTTCCAGTACTTCCCCTGCCGCAATCGATTAGTTCACTTTTCCAATAACTTGGCCATATATACTTCTTGGGGTTCCCATTCAGAACGTCAATTATATCGCGACCAGTGTATCTCCTTTCTCCGAGTGAATCAATCTTTGTGACATTTTCGTCGTCAAACTGAAACCATGTATTCGATCTGTGCCATCTTCAATACGTCATACGAACACTTGTCGGGTCACTCACGCGGTATCCAGGACTTGAGCCTCATAGTGGCCGTGATATGCACTCGGTCCCTTGTGTAATAGAACACCTCTGAGCTCATAGATGTCCTTTCTGGCACTCTTGTCGCTACTCGCTGCTTTTCGGGCGGCAGCAGAACCTACAAATTGGTCCATGTCAAGTGTCGTTGGGAACAGAAGATTGTGCTTAGACTTCTTGCGCTCCATAGAGGCAAAGTCGTAAACAAATCGTAAGAGGGAGAAATGAAGTACAGGAGGAAGGTTTCGCAACTCAGTATACCGTGTGGCATCCTGGAGCGACTCGCATTTCGAACACAGGTACCTGGTAAGCACGCTTGAGTGACCTGTTCGAATAGAAAATCTACATCTCCACGAACTTGTTGTCACCAGTGAGTTTCTCGTCCTGTAGAAGAGCAGCGATACGGTCCTCCAGCCGAGCGTTGTTCTGAGCAAAGGCTGCATTAGCCTACCAGAGTGAGTATGTGAATGGTATCAATAACCTCGATATTTATTTCAAGTTCAAGGAAGTCCGTAGATCGCTCAGATTTATTGTGGCAATTACCGCAGATTGTGCCGTATACTTGCTCCCCTTGAAACTTTAGCAGCATAAATTGATCGGCACGTCAGGCGAGGAGAGGATCTACCTGATTAGATACAAGTGATCTTAAAGATGGTGATGACTGTTTCTGGAATTCAGCATCGAGGTGAGACATAAAAAGCTTTGAGAACCTGCTTAATTCATGAGGAAATGATTCAAAATCGACTAACAACGACTGACTCTTGTGCATCTTGCTGTTCTGAGGTTGAAAGCTTTAAGCTTTCAGCAAGTTTTTCGGGATTGAAGACGTTTTGGGTGCATTCCTGCAATGCAGTAAACGTCACTTGTAACTGAAATATAGGCGAATCCTAGGCGCAAGTTTGATTTATATGCACTCATTTATCATCTGCTCACCAACCTCAAATACATCTTCCTTATCTTGTGATGGCTGACACATATAGACACCATTGCGAAAAGCTAGGTCTCTAAACCATACCTTGGCGCTTGTTCTAATCAGTTCGAGATGATGAGGCGAAAAGATACCTACTTGAATGAAAGCATTCGCATAGCACGTCGCACCAAGGTTCTGAATTGCATGTATGAGTATGACTCGTTGCACGATCTCAGAGAGCACGATATTTTGTTCTACCTTTAAGCCAACAGGAAGTTCGGGATCTCGGGCGTTGAGCACTGGGTTGAACCCTAGGTCAGATGCCTTCAGGAATAGATCCCTGACTTTGTCTAGGTTCACAACGTGTATGTTAAATTTGCGCCGTAGAAAGTCGCGTTGGTAGTTTGTAGACTCGCCTTCGTCTTTCCATGTCTCTTGTCCGAGGTAATTCAAACAATTAGGGTTGTTCTTGCACAACTTCTTACTGCATGGTGGTGGTGTATCATCCGAGACAACAATGATGTCGTTTCCCGGCTCGCCATCTGCGGGTTCACGCTTGGGAGTAGGGCTGTTCTGCTTCTCTGACTTGTGTGCGTACTTGTTGGCACAAAACGGGTTGTTACTCCTCCGAGAGAGACCACACGACATAAGACGATGTTCCAAGGTGACCTGAGAGGGATGGGTGACCTCCGTACCAACCCAACCCCATGGATCGCTGCCAGGCAATTTGCCTCGTTTAAGTGGTTCCCCTGCAGCTAGTCCCTTAGGAGCCGGCGACGAACGATGTTTGCGCTTCGCAGGCATGACCGGTCGATGGAAGCTGAAGAACGGATTCGGCTATAAAGATGATGGAGGGAGGAGAAAGAAACGTGGACGAGTTGAACCCGGAGACAGGGAGCAACTTGACTTCCATAAACTCAAATATTAATCTGGTTCCGCCGAAGGTTCCGCGCAAACAAACTCGACGACGTTACGTAACTGGTGCTCTTTGCTTGAAACCACAGATCATCGACATGTTCTCTATGTTCTGACTTGCATAAAAGTGTCTCATCTTCACGCGTCTCCAGGATACTTGTAACCAGTCATCACCATAAACCCATGGACAGAATACGAGGTTTCCTAAAGCGCCCCAGGAGGCCAGACGCGAATATCGCAAGACTTCGACGGCGAAGACAGGCAGCTGCCTATATCCATCGTAATTTAACAAAATTGACGTCAGTGGAGTCTCTATTGTTCGCTCTCTCGCTGAATTTGCGTAGGACTGCCTTGTTTGTTATTGGATATGCGTGGATGCTGCTTATCCCTATACCAATGCTCTCCCAAGGAACATACATAGACGAGAATGCGCTCCAGCCTGCGCAAGTACGTGTGCATATTGCTTGCTTGCTACATGATCTAATGGAGCCACAGGTTAATACATATTGGAACTGGGGCGATGTTCACACAGCAGACTTGCAACTGTACCAACTGGATGGTATTCAAGAACGAAATCTCACCAGTGAACAGTATGTCGTTCTCCTCTTTGGTCATTCAACCGCCCTGACTCATGTTATCGACAGAAGAGCGGAATTCTTCAGGACTGAATTCAGTAAACTTGGCCTTGCTGCTTCCATACAAAATTATACTTTCAGTACCAGTAAAGGAGTGAGTTTTTTTTGTTTAGCAGCCAGTTTGTTATAAACATTTGCCAGACCGTCTCAGGCAATAATGCGTATGCCGTAATGTCGTCGCCTCGAGCCGCTGGAACAGAAGCGATAGTAATTAGTGCATCATGGTTAAGCAGGGCAGGGCGCGGCACACTGAATTTGCGTGGGACATCTACCGTATTATCTCTCGCTGCATTCTTAAAAGGTAGGGTTATTGAGTGGCTTTCAAATTTCTGATATACAACACGCTTGGCAGATTATTCCTTATGGGCGAAAGATATCATCTTTATCATCAGCGACGACTACCTCCACGGAATGCATGCATGGCTGAATGCATACCATGGCACAATACCGTCGAGTATGTCGTTTTGCATCTGCAGTATCAACTTAGCCTTCATTCTCTTGTCCACTGCCACTACTAGATCTTCGTACAGATCCTCTTGAGCATACCTCGGGGGTCATTTGGACTGCTTTGAATATTGACTACAGCAGTCATTCTTTTTCGCACCTTGGTGTCTTCCATGGTGGGCAACACACCTACCATCTCATTTTCTGACTACTCAAGAATGCCTACAGAGGGCTTGAACGGACGTCTCCCAAATCAGGACCTCATCAATTCTTTCCGACTAATCTCACATTATACAGGTGGCGTCCCAATGACAGTGTACGATCACCTGGAGTATTCAGATTCTGTCGATCAATTGCCAGAGCAGAACCTCTTTCCGCCATGGGTTCCGCCTTTTATTAAGCAGAGTCCACAACTTCAGCAATATGGGTATCGCGTTCGGAATGTAGTCCGACACATCGGCTACCAGGCTCGCGGCATGTGCAGCGGGGTGCATGGCCTGATGCATCAGTAATTTTGTTGTTCTTAGAAGCTTGTATGAGGATACTGACTTGATTCAGATTCCGTATCGATGCTATCACCTTGTTTGCCGTTCCAGCAGACGGACCGCATGGGTTCCATGCACTAGGAAGGTGAGTCATTCTAAATTATCTCACTCCCAACTACAGCAACGCCCATTAGAATCGTCGAGTCTACCCTTAGAACAATGAATAACCTTTTAGAGCGTTTACACGCTTCCTTCTTCTTTTATATCTTAACCAGCCCCGGGACGTTCATGAAGATCGGCATGTTTCTCCCAAGCACCATCCTCGTCAGCGTGGCCATGTTATTCAGAGGGCTTGGCGAGTGGGTGACTGCGGGGTGGGTTTGCGAAATATCTGAGGCCTCTCTGAAAGGCAACGAGACTGAGAAGTCCAGTCCTGCGAAAGGCACATGGAGAAATAGGCGACGACCCATGCTGTCTGCGCTTATCGTTGTGGTGACTACTCATGTTTTAGGAGTTCTCGTATTCAACCTAGTTTGCAGTCGATGGTTCGCCGAGTACCCTTCGGTTAGTTGTTTGACTACCTGTCGGTACTATACACTGACCCCACCCGTCCTATAGTTTCTTGCGCCAGTTATCTTTACCACCGTGTCTGTGATACCTCCAGTCCTCCTTCCGCTACTTTCGACAAACGCCCCGGAAGCAGCTCCAACTTCGATGCTCCTGAAATCGTCGAATCTATGCCTAGCATCAACAGTGATATCTATCACGTCTCTACTAAACTTTTCCCTCGCTGCCATGCTTGTTACAACTATGGGTATCCCTCTGGCGACGTCGTGTACATCCTCAAGTACAACGACCTCTCGTTTGCGATATGCTGGCTACTGTGTGCTAGCATGGGGTTGGTTAATGTTGGTACCTGAAGAGGTTGAAAGCGCGATCTGGAACTGGGAGGTGCTGGGTGTATGGTTTGCGCCGTTCATATGTATTGTGTACGCCCCGCTCGTTATGCAAGCTGCTATTGTATGTCTACAAGGGTCATAGATCAATGGCAGCGTAGCCTAATGTCACATTACAATGTACAGGCGATAGTGTTAAAATGCAAAGCACGGCGCAATGAGTGTGTAGTACCGCATTAACCGATGTCCATTGCAGCGTGATCGTCGGACCCAAACAGATCTCCCATTGTTTGATCTACTTCTTCCTGAGTAGCTCCCTCTGGGTCTGTGTCCGGATCTTCTGGTGCGATACCCTCCCTCTTCCGCCGTTGTCTTTCTTTCATCTCGTCTCTCTGGGCAATCTTCATCTCGAGGTCAGCTGATAACTTGCGTAGTGCATCCTCAAATCGTTTCTACAAGTAACATGAGAATTAGAACATGAAGACAGTGTAGAAACAAATACCTTGATCAAAGGATTTGCGGAGCTGGCAATTTCAGTTTGTTTCTTCAACACGGCAGCTTCGAGGTCCCTGATTTCTTCATTCAACAGTTTCCTCTCCTGCGCTTCCTCGTCATCGTCGTCCTCATCCTCATCCTCACTTTCATCCTCTTCGTCATCCTCCTCATCATCACCCTCACCCTCCTCATCTTCATCACCGAGGGCAAGATCTAGCTCTGCGGCGAGGTCTTCGTCAATGTCGCCTTCGCCTTCATCTTCATCTGCTTCCTCAGCTTCCCCCTCATCTCCCCCGAAGTCTGGTCCTGGAGTAGGAGCATCGCCTGCCTCGGAGCCAACGACACCGGGTGTAGGTGCATCCATGGGCTCATCTCGTTCAATAAATTCTGAGTCGGAAAGATCCGGGTTAACATTTTCCAGAACATCTAGCAGCAAGACATTTCAAAACAGACCCAACTCCAAAGGATGATGATGATACCATATTTGACCTCTGAAGCAAGTTCATCCGTGGCCAACAACCGCTCGACCGCCTCCTCAACACTTTCAATAGTCTACTTGGCAGCATCGGAATTACGCGTATTAATATGACTATACGGGGGACGTACCCTCTTGTTAACCCTCTTTCGAAATCGCCGTTTGCGAACTTGGTGCAAAGGCGGCGTGATACCGTGCGGCCAGATAAACTCATCGACGTTTACATTACGAGTTGTTGTAAACGACTCCTCATTGGGAATGCGGTTTTCAACCACAAGCATCTGCAGGCACGTAAGTGGAAGATACGACAGAACAAGCGAGACAAGTAACCTGACATATGTCTGCTACTTTGAACATTTGCTTGTTGTCCAAAGTCTTCTGCGCTTCGATGATACACGGAAGATCGACAAGCTTGAAGGAATACAAGGTATTTCCAATATGGAAGACTCCTCGGCGGGAGTCTAGGTAAAGTTCGAGCAACCCGACCACTGCAGGAGAGGGAGGCCACTCGCCTTTGAATTTAAACCATACATCATTCCCGACTTCTCTGGAGGAAACCATCTTGCGTAACTTTTCACAGTCCTCCCCAGGCGGCATACGGATAATGAATTGTTCTTCAAATGCAAGGTCCTCATCATCTGAGTCTAACTCCCGATCATATGAGCCCAGGAATGACATTCCGGGAGCCTGCGCAGCTGCTTTATCGCTGAGCTTGAGTTTTAGCTTTGGCTGGGGTCGATTCTTTGCCAACGAGGAGCGCGTCGTTCGCTCGGAAGGCTCGGGGGTGCCCCTTAGACGAAGGGTTGTAGCCAATGCATGTTCCGCTGCGGCACGAAGGGGCCGTGTTCTCTGCGGTTGAGTTGGAGGGGTCGGCTTAGCGCCATTGACGGTAGAAGGGCCTGCTTGTTGTTCGTCAATATCGTCTACAACTATAAGGTCGTCATCCATGATGTGGTTGATGGTTACTCAAAGTTGGCCGAGCCAAAGCGCTTAGCGCGCTCAAACAAGTCAAATGTGAACTCCAAATATCATTTCGGTCACACCAGACGTGACGGTCACAGTGTATACTCGATGCACAAGAATCTTACTTTCGTCGACGATGGCGACGACGAGCAAACAGTATAAAGCCATCGGAGAGGATCTTTGGAAAAGTCGTACAGATAAAATCGTGAGGTTTGGACTTTGTGTCGTGCCTTTGGGTCAATCAGGCCCCAACTAACCCCCAAAACAGAATTCAGAGTTGTTTTCTCTTACATATGGCGCCCTCGTCGTTCAGTTGATCCAAGACTATGAAGATTATGCCGAAGTGAACAAGCAACTCGAGAAAATGGGATATAACATTGGAACACGATTAATCGAGGACTTCCTTGCAAGGAGCTCTTTAGGTCGCTGCTCTGACTTCCGGGAAGTGGGCGAGGTGGCGGCAAAGGTGTGCGCTTATCACCACTCCCCTGAGCTGACGTTCTCAGAGGACCTCATTTGAAGGTCGGGTTTAAATCCTTCCTAAACATCACACCAACAGTCACGCACTCTGGTGCTCCACCACCTTCCGCCCGCCCGACCAGTACAGTTCAACAATCAGGAGTTCCTGGCTCGTCTTTCATCCTGACCCTGGATGAGAATCCCTTGGCTGAATTTGTCGAACTCCCTGACGAAGCTTTGGAAGGAGGGCTATGGTTTAGTAACGTGCTGTGTGGTGTTCTTAGAGGAGCACTTGAGATGGTAAGTTCACAAACTAAAATAATCGGCGCAACTATGTATCACACCCATTTCAAAGGTCCAGATGCAGGTGCAGGCAGAGTTTTTGTCTGATGTACTTCGCGGTGACGAGAGCACGGAGATTCGAGTGACATTGCTGAAGTACCTGGAAGAAGAAGTGCCAGTCGGAGACGACTAGATAAGCCACCTTGGATGTACTCAGGAATAGTGTATTATCTTCTACATGGAAGACAAATTTGGGACAAGCGCGGTGTCCGGCGAACTTCCGAGGATATATAAACAGACATAATGAACACCCTCAGCCACGACGATCGACCCTGTTGAGTTTCTTCGCGGTCCGCGCGTTGTTTTGGGTATTCTGGCCGCGGACAGGTAAACCCATGGCATGCCTCTTGCCAACGTAACTGCCTATCATGCGCTGGTGCGCAATGTTATCCTTGACTACTCTCCTTGCTTCGCTCTCGATCTTGATGTTTCTCAGTGGATCTGCCCATGCCCTCTGTGAGAGCTTCTTCATCTCCTCCTTCAGGACTGCGAGTGGGGTGGAGGCCGGGGGAGGTTTATAGGACGACGTGGCTAATGGAAAGCGAGGAATAGGTATTGAAGTAGATGGAGAGGAAAGGAACGCGGCAAGTTCTGTGATTTGATGGGGTGTTAGACTTCGGACTTTGCACTTGTCGTGAATTTGAAGACGTGCACAAAGTCGATGTGCAGTTTTATGGCCAATGCCATAGAATGCAGTCAAGGCAAACTAACTTGACAGTGAGTAAAACTTTCGGAGAAAAATAGCTATAGCGCACCCTTGCATATTGGTAGTCTGGGAGTTGCACCCCCAAGACGTGGACCATGGCTCACTCGGAACAATTAGAAGGGAACAGTGAACTTCAAAGCTTGAAGCTTGAAAAGTAATTTCATACTCCGCGACTTCGCGCTTCACACCACACAACCAGAACCTTCATGGCTACTAACAACGCCGAAGGACGTCGCGAGGATGCTTTCATCAAGCAGCGCGCTCAGAATCGTGAAGAATATGAACGCCAAAAACAGACTCTCATCAACGAAACGGAAAAATCCCGTCCATCAGTCAACAAATTTGTCGGTCAAAATGACTCCATGGAAGAAACTCTTAAGAACCAGACTATCGGTCTAGTGAGGTTGGAGGACTTTCAGCAGAGAAGGAAAGAGCTGGAGGAGGCAAAGGCACGCGAAGCTGCTCGCACCAATGAACTCAAGTATGTTGTTTTCAGTGTCCAATGCCATTCTCTCTTGTGCCGTGGCGACCGTGTGGAAAGATGGCTTATATTCCATGGAGGATTTGTTTAGAGACGAAACAAAGAAGGTAAAGAAACGCAAGAAGACAAAAGCTACTTTATCATTTGCCATGGATGACGAAGGCGATGTCGATGGAGACACGTCGTCGCGTCAAAGTCCTGAAGTCCAAACCGGTGAACAACCGTCCAAGCGCGCCAAGTTCCGTAAGAATCCCAATGTCGATACATCGTTCCTCCCGGACCGTGAACGAGAGGAAGCGGAAAGGAAAGAGCGTGAAAGGTTGCGTCAAGAATGGATTCGCAGACAAGAGGAGCTCAAACAGGAAGAAATCGAGATTACTTATTCTTATTGGGATGGGAGTGGTCACAGGAAGTCGGTTGTGGTATGTTCTATATTTATCTGATGCTCGTTCACTCATTCGCAGAATGCTTCAGTGCAAGAAAGGTGATACCATTAGTGCTTTCTTGGAAAAGTGCCGACAGCAGTTCCCGGAATTGCGAGGCGTTAGCGTTGACAATTTGATGTACATCAAGGAGGATCTCATAATACCTCATGTGAGTTTGATTTTCCCTGATGATTATTTATTTCAATGTATTTCGACAGCATCATACGTTCTATGACTTCATCATCAACAAAGCTCGTGGAAAGAGTGGGCCATTGTTTAATTTTGACGTTCATGATGATGTTCGCCTGCTTGCTGATGCAACCAAGGAGAAAGACGAGTCACACGCTGGTAAAGTGGTTGAGAGAAGCTGGTACCAACGGTTCAAACACATCTTTCCGGCCTCTCGATGGGAGGTAAGCAAAGCGTCCTTCCTGGGTCCATATCTTGTTAATCAAGGCATAGATCTACGACCCAGAGAAAGAATACGGAAAGTACACTATCGCTTGATATCTTTACGTTCATACTCTGTGTACACATTACGTTTTGAAGACATGATAAAATTTATGACTATCATTAAAAATATATGCCAGGACCGTGGATTGAACACGGGACCTCCAGAAGGCAGCGCCTATTCATTACTTCAGTCTGTTGCTCTCCCAGCTGAGCTACCCCGGCGATTCACTTGGAGTGAGATTATCCATACTTGTACATTCCCCATTTCCAGAGAGCAATGAGTGGTGTCTGATGGGCCTTAAGGTGTATATTGCACAAAGAGTCTGCCATGCAATTTCAGATAACATACATTGAATGATAAGTATCTCAGATGATATGGATTATAGTGAATAGACTAGGCAATCCTAACCCAGATGCTATAATACATGCCTTGTCTGTAAGTGAGATGCAAGGTAGAACCCCGTCAATTGCGCTTTGAAAGTCAGGGTAGATGATCGATATAATGCGACGTAATATCGAAGATGGTCCAGAGGAGCCCGTGCGTCGTGATGCTCCGCACTGCACTGACGCCGAGACCGCGATATATACGTGCTATGCCAGCAAGGACTGGCTTTGGATCTTTGGGATCCGGACCTAATGAATTTTGAGCCGTAGTGACATGACTGTATTGGTCTGCCGTACCGCGCACGAGGCGACGGAGGGTTTCCCATACTCCTTTCGGAGGAGTGCCAGCTAAAGCACGTTGCTGAACTTTGGTCTTTACTCTGATGAGAGAATGAGTTTTGTGGCAAAGAGAAAGATGTGGACGAACACATCAAGGGGATATATCAATGCCCATGAAGACACGCCGGCCAGCGAACCACAGACAAAGGGAATCAAGGATGTGGGTATTGGTAACCATGCTGGTGTTGGTCCCTGCTCTCCCGAGCGCTGGCGGCCCAATAGATGTCGCATAGCATCATATTCGAAAAAGTATAATGCAGTGCCGGCTGTATCTCGCACTGGGGAGCAGGGTCAGTCTGAGTAATAAACAATGAAGTACATCACTCGCCAAAGTGGAGACGGAACCCTATCCAGGGCCCGGACAGCCCGTGAGTTCGAAAAATTTCTCGGACAGCGTCGATAGTATTTGGGGGTTTAACCATTTGTACGCCTTTAGTTGCGGCTATGCTATATTCCAATTGCCTTCGAACCTGTCAACAGTGGAAGATTACCTTCCCAGATAAATTAGCCAAGTAAATATACCTTGACAAGTTCGAAGGCTAGTTTCACATGTCAGATATTTGAACTACGCAGTTGAAGAGCACGCACGTGCACTAGTAAATGAAATCAATGATCCAGACAAGGCACCGCTGAGACCGCCAGCGAGAGCAGCATCAGATGCTCTATCACCTGTAAAATAGTTGTTTTTACGACAGTATTCTTTTGTACTACTGTATATTGTAAATGAAGCAGCACCTGGATAGTCGTTATGCTTGTAAAGAACAGACAGCGTGCGATAACTCACGGACAAAAGAAATCGTGACAAGCGGTATCCAGAGACCTCTATAGAAGCCAGTCACTCCTTCTTCCCGATAGACGATACCAGCAAGCTTGAGCACTGGCATCCTTGTCTTGGTGGTCTGTAGTCTCGACTTCAAAGAATCCAACTAGAAAACAGCCAGATTTGTAAGTTGCATCAATGTAGAAAGGCCAAACCCACTGGATATCCAACAAAGGTCGAAATGTAACTAGCTGAGAGAGCGCATACCACCGGCTTATTTCCTAGCAGAGGAGTCATTGCAAAATCGACGTGTATTTTTCATCCTACATACGCTTCAAAACGTCGTTGAAAGCATCCCTGTTAAACCAGGGACTTATTGGCGGGCTAGAAACTTTTCAAGAACTATGACCTTGCGAGAAATCCAGATTACGAGCGTACCTTGTTCCATCCATAGCTCTTCTTGCTGGACCAGACGAAAGGTCCAGTTTCGTGCCTCTGCCAGTCTGTGTCGAGAAAGGCTGGGCGTGATCTCAGTTGGAGCCAGAAAGAAGAGCTGGAGAGGAGATAGGGATCTCCAAAGGCAATTCGGTATATGCTTGAAGGAGTGTCGGAGGATGTCACGCGTCATCAAAATTACCCATATTTGGCCGACCAGACCCTGTGTGCCTATATTTAAAATTTCACGCGTCTATACATAACACGATATCGATGGTCCGGGAAACCAATGGAAATTACGCCAATCTCGAGGGTGTACTACTGGCACATATTTATCAGAAACCACCCAGCCTCTTCTTCACAAGCTTCTTATTCGGAACATTTCGACCGCCGTACAGCCCAGGTAACACTTGGGTACTTGTCATCAACTCTTGGGAAGGTTGAGAAGGTTCAGGATAATTCTCATGCTCTGCGGTTTGTAGATTAAAGCCTCGAGGCTGGGTGCTAAACATTCCCCAGTGATTCTGGGCAACATGAATGGGAGGTGGACGAGGCTCGAAACCTGCAACAATCAGCGGAGGGCGTTGTGATGTTGTAGTTGTCGTTTGCGTAGCGACTGGTGCAGTGGGGAGTGCCCGTTCTCGAGAGGGAGCGATAGGATCGTCGCCTTTTGTGTTGTAAGGATCATGATATGTGTAAGACTCAACGTCCGTTCCGACCTCCCACTCCCTCAGCAACAATCGCACACCCAGCGGACTGGAAAATTCCACATCCTGTGTAGGTTCTGCAACAGCGTCTTTGTCCCTGGAAGTATCAGGGTAATGGTTCATACCAAGCTTGGGATATGGACGCAGGTAGCCAAACTGAATCTCGGGAAGATCGTCGTCAAGTGTCAGAGCTTTTGCAGCAAGAGACATGCTCTCCACATCGTCGACCTGGATCGGAGCAATGGATATAGAAATAGGCTGAGCTGAAAATACCATGCTAGAAAGGGCCAAATCGAGGATAAGCTGTTCTCGTGAATTCTCCTCTTGTTGCACGAATGACCCAGGGACATCATCCGAGTAAGACAAATTGAAAGCTTCCAGAGCACCATGCATCTCCTGCCAGTGATCCACGCGACCAAGCCCCATACGGCAGAGAAATGGCTTTAAATCGCAAGACCATGGTGCACCACTCGTAATTTCCTGGACAGGTAGCTCGTTGTGTACAAGCGTTTTGTACCCACGATTCGAGTTAATCAGCCCACCAGTGAGAAAGTCCGCTCGCGAGTCCTCGTCTGGCTCTTTGTCAGCGCTAAGGCAGACGTCATACCTGAATATGCAACGGATCAGCGTGTAAGAACGACAGATGTTTGAACACGCCTTACAAGGTCAACATTGCCTTATCAGAATTACTTGTCCTTTGCCAAAACTGAGAAAGCTTGTCTATCATCACGGTAAATTCACCCTCAGAGGCAGCTTGCTCTTTAACATCCCTCGTAACGAAAACTTCTGCAACCAAAATAAGTATCAGGGTATACCCGACTAAACTGAATCAAAAACACTCACTCAGATACGCAGTCCGTAGGTTCAACTCTGAGAAATGCCTCGCGCTCAGTGGCCCGTACTGAGGCTGAAGTTCCTTTGCTCTTTGAGCTAGTTTCTGCACATCCGCAGACCATTCATGGCTAGTGCCACTAGTCTGTCTTGGAAGTACGTCCATGCCATTGTGATATACAGCAAAGTCCTGGCAGTGGAGACTGTTTTGTCCAGAGAGCCGCAAGAGGGAAACGGTGGACCTATCGGGCTGGACAAAGAATGAACTTTCCGACTCAGACACACCCATATCTCCGTCGTGAGGTAAAGATGTTGGAACGGAATGACAGTGAATCAGATTATCGTTTCCTCGAGACACATCATAAATGGTGATGAGCCCGTTTTTAAGCGAGCTTAGGAAAGTCAGAGGGCCTACAATGAAAGGTGAGTGAATAGAGATGACCAATATTTCGCTGGTCCGTACCGCTGTCCAACTGCACGGTTTTGACATTGAGCGATCTATCATGCGCTCGGTTGTGCTTAAAGCTCAGAAGCACTTTTTTTGGGTACCGATTATCCAACCATAGGAGCTCCGAGGTCGTCGAAATGGTGAGGAGATGTTCTCGCTCTGACGAGTCAAAAGATGTTACAACAGAGCCCAACTGATCAGTAGAAAATAGGTCGACACTAGGCTGACTCGACTATCTCTGAGTTAGCTAAGAATTTAATACGTCTTCCTGGAATTCGTACCCTGAAATCGAGATGTTGAATGCAGCTACTTGACGCTAAGAAGTAGCCTTGGTCAGACGGACGAAGTCTCCAAAATTGATCCCCATCTGTGTTCTCAAAACGAACTTGGTTAAGCCCTATGCGCCGCCTGATGAAGGTATGAGCTCAGTGAAATTGAACGAAGAAGGTTACAAACACAGCTTTTGCTCCTTCATATATTTTGCAGTTGTAAAGTGCTCCAGAGGTGTTCACAGCAATGATATCCGAGTCATGGGGTGAAAATGCAGCATCTACTACGCATTTGCCTCCCACGTCATCAGAAAATATGTCTACCTCCCTTGTGGCCTTCAGATCGGTGGCTTCATCTGCCAACTCAATGCTCAACAGAGATGTTGCGGAGAATGTTTTAACTAAAACAAGATTGGTACCACGCTTCAGAGATGAATTTGATACATTTGGGGTCGAGATCTGGAGAATGGGTGTCTCAAACTTGGACGCGGCATATCCAGACGCGTGAAAAGTCGAGTCGGAATCAGTGGCGGATATAAATGAAATATCTAGCATTTAAGCTGAGATTAGGCGATAAGGGCGAGATTGGGTACGGCGGCTTACTCAATTCATCATTGATTTCTCCCATCGGAAAGAGGACCAGTGATGTTTGAGGGGTGCTGGAAGACGGTACAATACCAATGAGACTGCCTCTCAAAGGATCGTAGATTTGCAACTCTCGGTTTCGTCGTTCATCGGACTGGAATTCCGCCTTGATGAGCTCCGCAGGGAAATCGGCGTCCGGGAAACATGTTCTAACGAAGTTGAGCTATTAGAGGACGCACAACGTCAAGATAATGCTAGGAACATGGTTGAAGGTCGTACCCCTTCTTCGATTCGTCTCCACTGCGTAAGACGGCTTGGCGTCGGATTCACAGACCGAGTGGCAGGAAAAACACAACGCCCTGCCCCAACTGGTGTCACTCTTCGAGCTGAATGAATTGTCAACTATGACCATGCTGACCCATGTACAAGATTCAAACTTACCATTCGATGTATCGACAACGGTCGTCCAAGCTAGCCGTCCGTCGGGTGACACGAGGGTCGCTCCACCAAAGGTTCCGTAATCGAGAGAAGGATGATTCCAATGTCGAGTGTCGTGAACTTGGGGCTTTTTGTTTCCCCTTCCCTGCTTCTTCTTCACAGGCAATGATTTATGACGTTCATCCGCAGGCCAATGTTCCATTCCATCTGCGCAGATACCAGAAAGTGTTCAAAGAATGCAAGCTAATCAGCACAAGTTGTAATTGATTTACAAGTAATTATGAGCGTGGAAACAAAGCTCCGATCTCCGACAACATTTTCTTTCAGTAAAGCTGCAGTGTCAAGGTTGTTTTCGACTATGCTTGGACACTGGGCACTTGCGCCGAGGCCACGGCAACTCCTTTCACAATGTCGACAATTTAGCACGACCCGTATTGCATGGGCGCGGACAGTAAACCCCAGTACTTCTGCGACGTCTGCAAAATGGACACCGAATTCAATACGTACCGGTCTCATTGCGCGTAAACGTGGAATGACCGCTATATGGGACGACCATGGTGCCCGCGTTCCGGTCACGGTATTGCAGGTGAGCGAGTTCGCATGTACCTTTCTCCCGTCCTCATATATGTCGTAGCTAGAGAACTGCCAAGTGACCAAGAACATTGTTCATGTGCGTCCGGACCGCACCGAGTATCATGCAGTCCAACTTGGTGCATCCGACCGTCCAAAGAGGACAACAACGCATCAGATGAGGGGTCATTTCCGGAAGGCTCGCGTTAAGCCGAAGTATATCGTGAAGGAGTTTCCTGTTACCCCCGATGCACACGTCCCTGTCGGTGAGTTCCTCGCAAGCATGTTTTCCACTTTTCATGACAGTGAAGTTACTCAGGAACGACACTTTCCGCCATTCACTTTGTACCTGGGCAATTTGTGGATGTGATTGCTGATTCGTGAGTTCTCCGCATCATTTTTGCATGTTTGACTCAGGCAATCCCAGTATTGGGAAGGGATTTCAAGGCACGATGAAGCGATGGAACTTCAAGGGTTTGCGTGCAAGCCATGGTGTTTCTGTATCACATCGTTCAGCCGGTGCGACTGGACAGCACCAAGTTGGTGTCTAATAAATTGAGTATATCCCTACTGACTCTAATTATAGGACCCGGGTAGAGTCTGGCCCGGTAAGAAGATGGCAGGCCGACTGGGAGGCGAACGAACTACTGTCCAGAATCTTCCTGTGGTCCGTGTTGACACGAGCCTCGACCTGATTTTCGTCAAGGGCGCAGTGCCAGGGGTTGACGATGCACACGTCCTTGTTCGCGATGCAAAGAAGAAAATGCTCTGTCTCGCAAATGCAAACCAAGCTAAAGGTCTTTACGAGAGTGTCCTTCCCAAGGGTGTGGATGATCTACCTTTCCCCGCCGGGACTAAGGAGATGGTTCAATCCCTCCCTCCCGTAATCGAAGCTCCTTCAAAACGGAGTAGCCCATTCATTCCCAGGGAATAGACTATGTATAATTCACTCGCATTCTCAAGCACTCTATTCTAATTTTTGGAGCATTGCTGGCGTGAGTATGTTGGCCTATTTTTTCTATGGTAGAGGTACGTGAATGAGCCCGATGATCCGGAGCAATAACTCAATGTGATCGTAAACCTGCTCAACATTTCGTCCTCGCTGTCCCAGGTCTGGATTTCATGTTGGTCGGAACACCGATCTTTGACTTAAGAAGTGACTGATTTGCGCTCATATAAGTTGAGTGGGAAAGGAGACCCGAGCAGGATGAACAAAGCATTGACTTCTCAGACTCCAAAGGGTCATGTTCACAATGTTCACGCGAGTATTAAATATAGACTGGCTCACATCCATCCAGTAGGATTTGTATCAGCAAGAGCCTGTGGTCGTTGAAATAAGAGCAGGGTTCTACTGTTGAGCTAACAATGTCAAGTCAATGAACGCTCCGGAATAACTGTACACAGTGATTGATTATGATATGTAAAAGTGTAATGTCGACGGTATGTTCGACCTGTTGTACTGCGGGCGCGGATACAAGTCTCAGAGGTTAAGATAGAAGTTTTTCGTCGACGATTTCTTTAGTGAGTCCTTCTTCCGCATCCCGAACTTCGATGGTCTTGTTTGCTTCTGCCTGGAGCATTGTAAGCGTCAATGAGTGAAGTCTTGATAGAATTGAAGCCTCGGCACGGTACTCACGACTCTTTGAAAGTCAAGGAGGGCGCTAGCATGCAATGTCATCATGGTTGTCTCGGATGACGATGGAGCCCAGTTGATAAGCACTAGTGGGAATGATATCCTACCATCGCGGTGTTTGAGTTCATATGATAACACGACATATCTGGGAGAGTTTCTGGGCAGTTCTGGAGTGTGGAGATGAAGAGATGAAGAATGGTTCCAAGATGATCATACCCTCGACAAGGTCTTCGATCGAAATATCGTCATACTCCTCGTCTACGACCATCTTGAGAGCAGCCTTATCGATCTTGATAACGATTGCTGCATGTCCCTGGCTCCTACGCTGGAACCTAAATTTTCTGAGGGCCTTTGTGACATCCTCGTTGATGTCCACTGTCCTTGCTTTCGACTAGAAAAGAAGTTATAGCGAGAAGAGGCAGATGTGTTTACTACGGCTTACCGCCATGTATGACGATGAGTCAAGAGAGATAAGATAAGGTAAGAGCAGAACCACTTGGGGTCCTGACCGTGGTCGGTTGTTATGGTGAGATTTTCAGAATTGATTAGAACAGTACTGCTGATGCGAGAGGTGCACCATCTTACTTTAGGGACGATGTTCTACTGAATTCAAGCTGCATTATCAGATCATCTTCGCGAGTCTTGGATACCTCGGAGTTCTGCCAGGTTCTGTCACCTCCCCAGTGTGGATGCAAGTTCGCCGGCGAGGGCACAGCCAAAACTCCCAAGAAGATAATGATTACATAATGACACCGACTAAGTATCACTGGTACTATATCTATATCAGCAGTGACATGTGCTTGCAATGATGATTAATTTCGGGCGGCAGCGCACCTCGCGGTGCGTATCAAAATAAAGTATTATAACCTTTTTTCGATCCGCAGGCACCTAGCACTCCACGGCCACCATGTCTCGAAGGCTATCCAGAAACACCTCTGTGACTCCCTCCGAGCCGAGGGGTGTAAATATTCCCCAATCCGAAGGGCTAACCTTGCCTAGCGATCAAGTCGATGAACATACCCTGCACCCACATCAACACTCAGAACACACGCTCGTGGACCAGGACGGGTCGTTTCAGCTTGACCGAGAAGATGAGGAGCATGATGAAGAAATTACAGCATGGAAGGTAATGCCGTGGTGGAAAAGACCTTCGCCCTACTGGTCAGCGAGCGAGCCTACTGTGTCAGAGATAATATCATTGACCACTCAAGCAGGTTGATATTTTCCACGCCTGTAGCATCGTTGGGCTTCTCTGCAATCATTGGTCCTCGGGTGGAGATGTACACTGCTCTCGCATGTCGTGTTCATGCGCCCGGGCTCGAGTTACAGTACGAACCGAACGGCATGCTACATCTAGCTCAGCCACATGCAGTGTTATCCGTGGACATGGCGAAGACTCTATATGATGGCCTGAATCTAGATGATCTCACTGCTCCAGTTGTGTCTGCTCAATCTGTGTCTTCATACGTTCCTGCAGATACTGGTTCCCAACAGTCATCCGTCCCAGACCGCGACCAATGCGCGTCTGACCCAGTCGTGCAAGCTGCCGTCGCACAATTGTCCGCAGGTTGGGTTCATTGTCTTTCTTTATACATCTGAGAGGCACTTATACCGAGGTAGTTCTCAGCACTACTATGGGTATCTTGAGCTGCCTTACAACCGTTTGGTGGGGTTCGGTGAGTCACTACGTTCATGTTTTTTTGATGTTCCCATGACCCCCTGCTCCCAGCTCTCCGACCGTTTTGGTCGAACATTAATCATGGGCATCTCGATGCTTGGTTTGCTTGCGAGTGATTTAATTTTCATTGTCACAGTATTCTTTGTGGAACGGCTCCCAGGCGGATACTGGTTCTTGATACTCGGTTTTGCATTGGACGGTATGGCCGGTGGTAAGTCAGAGCATGTCACTGGGGATAGGTCGGCGTTTAACGTATTTTAAGGGATGACCACTGGGGTTGCTGCTTCTCATGCCTATCTTGCCGACAGTACCCATCGTTCTGAGCGGTAGGGTTGAAAATCCACCCATGTTCTACTCAAACAAATAATCATTGATAGATCTCGTATATTTTCCCTAGCATTGGGTACCATGTTTTGTGGTGTGGCCCTTGGTCCTGTCATTGGAGGTGTCTTAATTCGAGCGACGGGCTCGACACTTTCCACGTTCTATTTATCTGCGACTGTCCACGCGCTGTACGCTGCTTCCATGTTTCTGATTGTCCCCGAATCACAGACAAAAGCGAGAGCACTTGGCGCACAGAAAAGACGGCAGGCATCACTTGAAAGGCGGAATGGTGACGCTGTATCCATCTTAAAGAGCGCCATGAGGTTCTTCAGCCCTCTAGCAGTTCTTCTGCCCGAACGTGTCAGTGTTAACGGAAACCCACTCAAACGCTCCAAGAGAGATTGGAGTTTATGCTTCATTGTTGCTAGCTATGGCTTCACGATGTTCCCGATGGTATGGCGCCATTATATCCCTGTAGTATCTCCAATACTTACATCTACTTTTCCCGCAGGGTATGGTGACATACGTGTTACAGTACGCCGCAGGAAATTTCAAGTGGTCATCGGAAACGGTAAAAGCACGCAAGAATGTCGTCACTAAATCTGACAGCCTTCTAGATTAGCTACTACGTCGCCTTCGCTGGAGCTGGCCGTGCGCTATTCTTGGCTGTCATCTTACCTGGTCTGTAAAAATAACTCATATCCATCTTTGTTCAATATGAATTCAATTCCCTAGTTATCATCAAGCTTCTGAAACCGGCGCCTGTGCAGCTCCCCACTGCCCCAGATGAGCCACTTCAGAACTTGTCATCACAGACCCTTCCAAGTAGGCATAGTGACACAGGACCACCCTCTCATTCTGCGAAGTTTGATCTCAATCTCGCTCGAATCTCTATCGTTATTGACATTCTTTCGTTCGCTACAATGATTTTTGCTTCTGATGGTCTCGTCTTCGCCTTCGGATCTATCTTGCAATCACTGGGCGCCGGGTATTCGCCTGCTGTCCAAGCATTCGCGCTCGATGTTTACAGCAGAAGGGGAGGAAAGGGCGAAGCTGGAAAGCTTTTTGGCGCCATTGGTGTGGTACAAGCTCTTAGGTAGGAGAGTCGATTTTGGCCAACTCAAGCTCTGACGCATTCGATATAGTTCTCAAATCATGGGCCCCGCATTATTTGGCTTTGTGTATTACAAGACCGTCGCGACCTTCCCTGGTGCAATTTTTGCTTTGAGTGTGGTGATGATGATAATTTCTCTCGCCTTGCTCGTGCTAGTGCACCCGCCTACGAACAAGGATGATGCTGAAAGTACGATTACGAACGACGAGACTCAAGTTCCAGTGATCCGTGTCAAGATAACCCAGGCGGATGATCTTGTTCACAGTGAGGACGAAGAGGCGGGAGGACGTGACGCTCAGAGTTAACATAGATAATTTTGTAGTACAAGGACACCCCTTCGGTCGGCTCTTCGGTGTGTACAGTAGCAGCTTAGGATATTACTAGCAGTGCAATTATGTGCTTCGTTCGTCTTTGCAAATAGACACAGCGTGTCTCTTTGTGTTCTCAATTGACCGTGAGCAAAGGGACCCGTTCGAAGGTCGAGCACGGTCCGTGGTAGTGCAATTCTTGACAACCATTAAATGTAGTTGCATACGCGGGTCGCACAGGAAACTGTCTTCGAGCATGTGGATTTACACGAATATTACATCGCCAGAAATTCATTTGGTTATTTGCTTCCATTTTGAAGACCAAAAATGTCGTAAAATTAAGCAGAGGTCACCATAGTGAGAAAAGAAAACTCTGAACGTACAGCAACACAGCCTAGCATGACGTGGCGAGCGCAATGACAGATAGATAGTGATAGATAGGTGGCTGTGATCCATAATGGTATTACATATACACCTTGAACAATCGACATCAACGTCGACTCAAGCATTGGCAACAGATACAGCTGGTGCCTTCCACCATCTCCATGCGATGAGTCCCAGAAAGAAGTTGAGAATCCCAACAATGGCTGAGCCAGCTCCAAGCACTGTGAGAAGCCACCATATGGATCCAATGATACGATCGAGCGTGCGGCCAATATACCGTTTCAGCGTAGCACGCGGATCAGGCATAGGCGTATACGACGAAGGCAACCGAAGCATCGGAGGTGCACACGTTTCTGGGGACGATGCAGTGGTGGGTGATGGAAGCAGTAGCAGGCAGACGACAGGTTTCTGCTCAGCTGTTAGATGCGAAGTAAAACAGTGATGAGAACTTACATGGTCTGATGTGACGTATGACGGTATTGATGTGTACAAAATGTTGGTGATGTTAGACTTCTCAGGTGTGTCGGGGGAATCAGCATAAGTCGCATACATTATTCTATCGGTCCAAGATGGGGTCCGTTTCGTACTGTCAAGGCTGGGTAAGCAGGAGAAAATCATTGAGAAAAGATGACACACCTGTATCGGTCGACCTCGCCAAGCTTGTATTTATATGTGCATTTGAATGTCCAGAATGGGCCCTCATGCAAACCAATGAAAGCCGTCCCTTTCCTCCGCTGGTTCAGAAGTTGGTCGAATTCCTTCAACTGTTCACGAGATGCGTCGTCCTTCAACATCGTAAGAACATCGTACGGCTGGGAAGTTTGCACATGCGGATGCGACGGGGGTATTGTTATACGGAAGTTGAGGTCGCCGAGGAAGAATAAGTGTGACGTCGAATACATGGTAGTCGGAGAAGAGGAAGGAGATGATGGTAGTGGAGGGAAGAGAAGAGTGCTAACGATGTGACGATAATCTGCGACCCGTCGAGCGAGGTTGGCCTCGTGTGCGGTGAGGTGAGCACACACAAACCTGGAAAGAGTTTGTTCGGGACACAAGCCATCATGAACATGAGACATACGTGAAAACTTCTCCAGCTTTGCTCCCTCTGTCTGAGACACGGAATCGTATACCAACAGCACCTTTGTTACCCATGTAAGCTGGGCCTGTCCCAGTCCATTGAGTTTGCACATCACAAACCCGGCGCGCGATGCCACTATCTCGTGCGTACACGAGAAGTGCAACACCAACGTTCACAGCCTTCGCAACTAGCGTGTAAGACTCCTTGCCAGGAGTATGCTTCTCAATCTGACTACGAATATGCGCGTCCCTATCGTCGAGCACAGCCTTGGATAATCCAGCCACTTAGTGCATGTGTTATGTCAGAATGATAATGTACGAACACGACGACATACGTCCAATGTGAAGGGGCAGAAGTTCCTGGAAGCCAATCGCAAAAATGTCTGGTGCACGAGACTCCTTAGAGAGGAAAGAGGCTACTTGGAGTGTTGGAACAAGCCAATCGACAAGATCCTGAGGCACGCCAGCTCCACCTTGGAGGTTTGTATTATATGAACCGACTTGAACAAACAAATTTCCGTCGCTGGACATCGTAAAAGTGGGTCTTTGATGGACTTTGAAGTAGTTAAAGAGATGGGTCCAAGTATGTTACAGTACCGGACAGGACGAAGGCTGTCGACCTTGTTTAGCGAACGTCACGTATTAGTCAGCCAATGTGAATCAACTTCGACAACTTCAGTCGCTTCTTCTGTCATAGACAGAACAAAGACTGTCCCTGCGAGCACCGCACAGAGGGTAGGACCCCCTGAATTGCAGTAAGCCATTCAAGCGCGCAAAACTAGTAAAAGACATTCTCAAATGCTTACTTCCGAATTGGCACTCACAGACGGGCTCCTCCCCCTACTCTCTCGAGAGTCGATATGGCGCTAGAATATATCACAGCGAATGATATGGATCAAGATAAACAAAATGATAGAATATTCGATCCCACTTTTTCCTACCCAGAATCGCTTAAAGCAAGTTTCTGCGCCTTCATAACATCGAGACCTCCTTACACCATACCAGCAAATCAGGGTCCCAGACTACCTGGGGATACACCAAAATTAATCAATGTAACTATCAGTGGTGTGCACCTATTGGATAAAAATGGTGACCATATGTTGGAGGGTGGAGCATGGTTCGGTCGAGATGACGACCACAACGTCTCTACCAATGTGCCAGAACACCTGGCCACACCAGGAGCAGGCGAGATTAGAGCTCTCCTCACAACTATGTCGACCCTCTGCAAGAACGCACCACTACACGTTGTGATCAAGTCGTCCAAACTTTGAAAAGATCTGACAAATAACCTACCAAGACAAACAGACTCAAGCTGGCTAGACCACCCCTACAGAGAACTGATGGTAGTGCTGGTTGCTAATCTAAGAGCATGTTGTGCTTTGACATCCCTCACTGGATGGGAAGCATCTGCTCAATTCTAGATCTCAACTGTGGATAGTTTGGGTGCCATGTGCCGACGTGTAAGGGTTATTAGTGGTCCTAATTTAATTTGATGGCTTATATCATTGTTTGGCTGGCGACTCAACTTCATGCCTTTAACCCGCAGCACCAGTCATCCGCCTCTGCCCTCATCATCACTAACCAGCCTCGAGTTTGAGTCCCGAACAGTCGCTCTGGTCCATAGGTATCTACACATTTGTCAATGCATTCTTTGCATAAGTACCAGCGCAACAACCCTATCGTCAGAGATGCTTTTTGTCTGCAAATGATCTTTTGCGTATTCTGACGGGTACATTTTGATTATATTTCCATCCTACTTACGCTCGTCACTGTGTCTACCGGCGTACTCTAATTTCCGCAACGTGCAGTGTTTTGCCTAAACCAGTCTGACTATGACTCAGATCACGGTGAGAATTTACTACACCACTTGAGTAGTACTACGCACGACTTGTTCCAGATCTATCTAGAGAGGAGTCCCAAGTAGAGCTCAATCCCAATAGGACCACGTCGAGATCCGATATCGAGTGCCACATCATGGAAGCCTCTGAGCAAGATCGGCACAGTCGGAGGTCCGCAGTTCAGTTCCAACCATACAGGTGGATCTCACCTGACTCTTTGACTAACTGCGGGTAGTCGCCCATCGACCCCCAAACTCATCTGCCAAGTCTCTCCTGGTCGGATCTTGTCAAAATCAAGAAATAGATTCCATTTGTAGGAATTTTCCACAAGGTTTGAAATTCAAGGTGTCCAAGTGACGCGGATCTATTGGTTCTTTTGAAATATAGGGCGATATCCTTTTTGCCTTGGCATCGAGAAGCAGCGGGTTTCAATCATATGTGACTGGAAAGTGTATCAACTTTGGCCTCCTGACCGCAATGTTGCTGACATTTGCTGGCTCATCCCTGTATTGAGCCTTATCTTCCATGAAGTGGATGGTGCGTGCAATTGACTGACAATTGGATATCGGACCTCGCGCCTTTACGTGCAGTGTCATAGTACCTACGTTGCGACACGCTGTTGACCAGACTTTCATCAAATCTAGACCATCTCAAATACGAAATCCCCTCGTCAATTCTTGCAGAATGATGCAGGTGTGTTTGGTACTATCAGTCAATGACAATCAAATGGCAAGCAAACAGGCAAAGTGCCGAGTGTTCTCGCACAAGTTAAGAAGGCAGGTTGACTAAATCCATACCAATGCCGCCTAACCCCTCGATTCAGTATGAATTTCCGTTATCTTTTGATTATGGTCATGCAAGAGACAGTGCGCCACCAACGCTGCTGGCACCTTCTACCGTAGCCACGGGCATGTATCATTTCAAGTTTCTGTGCCTGTTACATCTCAAGAATAGGACCTATCTATCTATCTTTCGGTTCACTCTCGGCCCATTGATCCGTTCCTCACTATGTTTTGTTGACTTTGAGGCATACTTGGTGCATATCGATAAATATCAGCTATTCTACCTTGGTCTGCCTAGGCACGTCGTACCCTCCCTCTAGTCATGGCTGCTATGGAAAGAGTTTCTAGTCTCAACGACGAGAAATCCATCGACGTGAAGGAGAAATCGAAATCTTACCGCGTCAATGGGGATATCGAGACCTCTACCGGAGAAGACACAGACGAGATTACTGTTCTTCAGAACGAGCGAGATATTGCAACTCACGTCATTTCCGTGGACGACGATCCTAGTCTGAACCCCTGGACCTTTCGGGCTTTCTTCATCGGCCTTGGCCTTTCTGCCTTTGGTGGATCCCTCGGTAAAGCAGTCGAGATCTTTCAGTCGAGGCCCCTACTCACTTGCAACGCTTCCTAGCTCAAATCTATTACTTTAAACCTGTGAGAATTCTTCATCGAACATCAAGTCGGAGGGCTCATTCATGTGAACACTCCAGCAAACTGTCAATGTATCTCTGATGTTCCTCGGCATCATATCCTATGTGATTGGCCTTGCGATGGAAACATTCATTCCCCGCCACGGACTGCTCCGATACCTGAATCCAGTGCGTCCGAGTCTTCCACATAGCCTCTGACCCTGAAGTTCATGTGTATTTATGAATATCAGGGGCCCTTCAATAAGAAGGAGAATGCGTTCATTATCATCATGGCCAGTGCAGCCGCGAACTCTGCGTTGGCTACGGAAGTTCTCGCTGTCCAACGGTGGGTTCGCAATCCAATTCCCCTGTCGGTAGTGACTGACGACTCATCAGTTTATATTATAACATCACGCCGAATGCCATTTCATCAGTATTTTTGTTGTTCTCTTCTCAACTGCTCGGGTGCGTTGCGCTGGCGTATTCCTTACTCCACCCATCGCTGAAACCGCAAACTAAGCTATGGGATTGGCGGTCTGATGCGAGGTATTTTTGCTTCCGACAGTAGCTATACCTGGAATCTCAGCTCATGACACTTTGGTTCAGGGATCCTCCTCTATCCGTCGAAAATGTTGTATCCTGGCGTTCTCCCGTTGCTCTCCATGCTCGACGCTTTCTATTACGATGGTATCGCAGCACGCCGAAAGCTCAAGGTGTTCTATTTCGTCTTTACTGCGTGCGTTTAAACTTGATTGATAAATCATAATTTAATCTTTAATTTTCAATCATCCTAAACTTAGAATCTTTATATGGGAGCTTTTTCCAGAATGGATATTCCCCCTGCTCACCGGTGTCTCAATATTCTGCCTCGCCGCTCCTGACAATGCTGCTGTGTCTCGCGTGTTTGGTGGTTCCAATGGAAATGAGGGTCTCGGTCTATTGTCCCTGTGCTTCGACTGGCAGGTAATGCCCACCATCTCCATTTGGTTGATACTTTGCGTTGAACTCAATATGTTTAGTACATCTCGGGTGGATTGAACCCGATGACCATCCCACTGAAAGCTCAGGTTAGTTGGCCCACCTAGTGCGTACGACAATTCTTACATCTACCCTAGCTCTCCAGCTTCATTGGTTATATTCTCTGCACGTATGTGATTTCAGTTACATCGCAAAATATTGCTGAGGGGGGTGAAGGGTCGTTTTTGTCGCCGTATTCTACAACAATATCTGGGAATCTCGGAACCTCCCATTTGTAAGTAATATCCCTATTGGGCTTTCTAATGTCCAGGCTAACAATGCACCGATCAGTTGGCGCAGCTCCTCTTTTACGAGAACGGGACTGTCTACGACCAGACTTTGATTATGAATTCCAACTATGAGGTGGATCCTACCCTGGTGGCAGAACAGGGGCTGCCATTCTATGCCGGCACATGGATTGTTAATCTGCTGGCAATGAACCTCGTATGCCATGAAATACTGCTGATGTAAAGTGCTTTGCTCATAGTCCCAACACAGGCATTGGCTGCGACGTTCACTCACCTCCTCCTGTGGAATAAAGATGACCTTAGTGCAGCCTGGACTTGGATCAACATGGACACTCTGAGGAGTTGGCGTGCTAATTTCGATTGGAAGTTCTGGAAACACAGTGGAGAGAGGGAAGTCCCTGCCAACACTGAGGACCTCGACCCGCACTACCGGGAGATGCTCAAGGTCAGTCCTTCTGACATCGGATAGAGACCTTACCACCAACGTATTACTATACAGTATCCAGATGCTCCGAATAGTTGGTACTTCTTGACGTTCGTTCTCTCTTTCATTGTCGGACTGGTCGTCATCTACGAGACAAATTCCACGCTTCCCTGGTGAGCAACATTAACATTCTTCACCTGATGAAAAGTTTATTGAGTCTTTCGAGGTGGGGTTTTGTCATTGCAGTCGTCTTGGGAGCTGTGTCTATCTTGTTCTTTGGCGCGTTATACGCCATTACTGGCATTGGTCTCTCCATCCGCACGTATTATTTATACGCTATAGTTGTCCTGAGCTGATATTTCGGTGAAGAAACCCTAGTCCAGATGATTGCTGGCTACCTGCACAACGGAAGACCCATGGCGAATATGTTCTTTGTTCGTTTTGACGTCCTTTCCAGTCTTTGACCACCACTGATGTTGGTATTCACAGGTCCTTTACAGTTTTGTATGCATTTCCATTTTCGCTTCCTCGACCTCCTTTTGATTTGTTTTTCCCCCAGAATACCGTGTCTCAAGCAATGCTACTACTACGCGATCTGAAGATTGCTCAATGTATGTGCACATTATTAGTCGGAAAGAGAATAATTCTCACTGGCGGATTCCTAGACGCCAAACTGCCTCCCCGCGCTGCATTCGCAGCCCAGGTCATTGGCACCTTGCTCGGTGCTGTTCTCAACTATAGTTAGGGAGCCGTCTTTCCCATCCATTCTCCACAACTGACTTGTTTAGTGTTAATGAATTCTATCATCGACAGTCAACGCGAAATCCTGTTGTCTGTACAAGGAACAAACATCTGGTCTGGCCAGCAACCTCAATCATACAACTCGCAAGCCATTGCGTGGGGTGGCCTTGCCCACGAGCTCTTTTCATATGGTCAAAGGTACCAATGGGTTCCCTTGTCCTATCTCATTGGCCTGGTTGCGCCTCTTCCTTTCTGGATTATTCACCGTTACTGGCCGAGACTGCGGCATGGATTACTATTACACACCTGTCATCTGGTACGCTCTCAATTCATCAATGATCGATATTTCAAGCTCATTATGCATAGTGCGTACATCGGATGGCTTTGTGTTGGAATCAACTCCTCGATTTTGGCGTATTTCACGGTCGCGTTCTTGTCTCAGTGGTGGCTCCGTACTAGGTACCCGCGTTGGTTCACGAAATACAACTATTTGGTCGGCGCAGGTGAGTTCTGTGGCTTTCTGATCTCAACTACTAATATCATGCTATACTATAGCCCTTGATGGTGGAACGCAGGTCATGATATTCTTTCTCTCGTTTGCGGTCCAAGGGGCTGCTGGAGCAGCACATCTTTTCCCGGCATGGTGGGGTGCAAATCAAGGTGGAAACTACGACCGCTGCTCGTATCTCAATTAGTCTTTTACGTTAGGTTGATGTATTTTTGCAAGCAAGGAATATAAGTTGTCCTATTGAGAGTTGATCATCTACCTTGTGAAGCAGGATCCATTGGTAATTTGGAGTGGAATACATTATTACCTGGCAATGCAACTTCCGCGAGGTTCACATTCAATGGACCTCTCAAGCAACTAGTCCCGCATGCGCGCCGGAATGAACCGCCTCAACACGACCTCGCGCACCGAATAATGCGCAAAGCATGCGGGTGAAGAGAGAACTTTTGGAGATACCCGTGATTCCGCAGGTATGGTGATATACGACAAGACCAGTGTCTGTCAACCAGTTTAGACGGATATCAGTGACGAAGGGATGGAGACTGACCTTTTGAACCTGAGAATTGACCCGGTTTATCGTGCTCAGCCATGACCACGTGAATGGTTCTGCGTTCTGTAGCTTAAACGGTGAGGTTGCCTGATCTTCGGGGTCTTCATATACAGGAATGACGACAATTGCGAATCTAAGGAGATGTCAGCGGAATTGAGATAATTTTGAGTGCAGAATAAGGTTCGCTGAGAGAACTCCTGAGTTCAGTAGAATAAAACGGAGGGTGAAGATTGAGTAAAAACACCACACGCACTCGGCATGCTGAAATACAGGGCCACGCTTATACAGCAGGTAATCGACGCAGAACTTGATGCCGCATTTAACGACCCAACCAAGGGAGCGGTAGTGATGGTATGCGACATATGACACAAGGAAGGGGTTGTCAAACCGTGAAGGTGATGGTGCGTTTGGTTGTGGGACCAACGACGGTATGTGAGAATTTTGGAATGTATTCCATATTTCAGCGAGGGTAAAAGACACATTCTGTGTGAAACGAGATGAACCAGCTAGTTTCAAGGAGGGAATAAAGGAACATACGGTTTGGGGGTGTAAGATTGTCAAGCAGTCAAGTGCCCAGACGAGGAAAAAGGCCTCTTGAAGTGAGAGTTGCAGATGCTCGAGGTCTTGTATGGGCTCCATCTCTTCCTCTTCGTCTGGTGCGACGTCTAGAGGCGATTTTTCCGAAGGCATGGGTGCAGATGATGGTTTCCAGGTTGCAGCAGAGGGGATTATCCGTGTGCCATCCGGTGCAATACCAGGCGCGATAACGCGACCTTGTTCATTGAAAGCAGTCTCTGCTTCTGCGGCAGCAGCAGCAATCGCCTTTGCACGATCGAGCTTAAATTGCTTGCGCTCTGCACGGCGTTTGGCGGTGATCTCTTCGGATGTGAGTGCTATGCAAGTTAAGAGTTAAGATTATGTTCGGGGCAGTACAAGAGAACGACATACCCTTGCCCTTCATTTTTCTCGCATTTATTTGTCTCGCCAACCAACTAGGCTCACTCCTGGAAAGGTCTCCTTTTCCAAAGAACCCGCGCTGCCATAATAGGGTGGCATCGCCAGAACTTGGGACCCAAGCTGAGCGGGTGAGAGGGTCGAATAGCGCGGTACAGTGAGGATTGAGTGGTCGTGTTAGGGAGAGTCCAAGAAATTTGTATGTTGGCTCTGGAAATATGATCGGGAGTGGATGAGCGTATACTCTGGAAGTTTCTGCACGCCGCGAAGAAGGCTTGAGAGACGTGTTTGAACGGGAAGTTTGGTTGATGAGCGACATCACGGTGACTTGTCAAGCCCAGTGAAGATCGACAAGAAACGGCGGATATACGTGTCGATAGAGGTCGAACAATTGTCAAGCGCTGTGGATTACCGACGTGTTTCGCTAAATGAGAGGAACCAGCCTATAATTCGAGGTCGTTTCCTGCTTCCTTGGATGTCTTTCGAATCTACGAACCGCTTCGTGATTCCGTTCAGCAGATTCTCAATTAGGGTATCGTCGGTCTTTTTGCAGACTTTAGCACAAGTTGACTGCAGGACTCTGCTTGACAACGTGCACGTGCCACGATTGCTTGTTTTACCGAATATCGTTTCTTCCCATATTCTTTAGTCTTACTCGTCCATGATGGGCGTCATATATGTCCGTATGAGCGCTACTCGGGTATTGAACTGTGCTGGTTACATGACACATGGGGTATATATCCACGCATGATGACCCCAAGAACCCATGCATGACCAACGACATAAACCAAACTCCTGACCCAAAGCCCAAAGAACACATCATCGCCGAGGAACTCCAACTTGTATGCCTCTGCAAGCCACAGTGCTTGCGTGCCCATCCAGACTGCTCCACACATCACCCATTTTTTCCATGAAAGGTTAATGCGAGGTACAAGCAAAGGTATGAAGAGAGTATACCAGATAAAGTATTGGGACGTGCACACACGGTTGAAGAGCACGAATGTGAACGTCTGTACAAACCACACGAACGGCAGGCCGGCTGAGAGTTGACCGAAGACAAGGCCGGTCCCGAGGGACAACGTCAGTTGGGGTATAAGACTTGTAAACGGCGAGCGAAGCAGCTGACGCCAGGTTGATAAGTTGGCTGAGGTACCAGAATATGTGAGGTAGATGAGATAGAAGTAAGGGGAAAAGTTGTGTCGATGATCACGCCGGTCTGTATGATATAGATATGCCTCGTAGAGGAAGGGGTATCCCCACCTGTGGTAGCAAGTGAGGTTCAGTGCTTGGAGATCATGCAGATGCTTACACAGCGTAGCATATAGCTCCCAGAATAATAAATGTCCCTGCGCTGAGCAGGACGAAACAAATTGCCTCTCTTCCGACCAGTCGACGTAGCAGATGAGAAAATTTCCACCCTTTGCCATCGATGCGCTGTGAGGTGATCGCAGAGACACAGCTAACCCCATATATGATCGGGTAGATTTTCCAGTGAGCACTGAGTCCCAGCACCACGGCGGCAGCGTTCTGTCGACGTTCGAGCGCGTAGAATAATGTCAAGAGGACAAAAGTGCAGAGAATCGCTTCAGAAGAACCACGCGTTGAGATAGTGAATACAAGAGGGTTTAAGAGGTGTGTTGCCGCTAGGAGAGATGCATGTGCGCGCATAAAGCGTTTCGAGTCCTTTGCGGAGACATCTGGTGCTAAAGATTTGGTATGGGGAAGGATGTGCGACATCAAAATTCGATAAATGAGGGCGCCATTTATTAGATCGCATGCAGCAAACAAATACTTTCCGAATGACGGGTGCAGCCACTCATTTGGAAGGAGAAGGATGGCTAGCAGTGGTGTATAGCGATAAGTCTCCCGAGCGTACGGACTATGAAATCACTGAGCCTAACATCACCGAACAGACTGAGAAACTCACTTTCCGACAGTAAAAAAGAGAGGTGCAAGTGGCCCTTTCGCAATATCACCCTGCGGTTTTGGGTAAAGGATGAATCTGGCAGCGTCGCTGAATACGCGATAATCAATGTCGGTGTACTTCACTATCGAATGCGCATCGTGCCATTCACTGTATAGTATAAGCACAACACGAAGGACAACAGAAATAACCAGCAGCGTTACAAAACCAGGGACACGGTCCTGCCATGCAGCACTGGTGTTGGGTTGCATACGGTTTTAAAGCTTGACTCGGAGGCTTAATGATGAAGCTCAGCCGCGCTGGCCTGAGTACTCAGTAGCTGAGTAGTTGAGTTGTTTTAGAGTCACGTGATACGTGATGAGCGCAAGCCTACTGCTTAGTCAGGCTCTGCGGCAGTCCATGTTCCATTGTTCTAAGTGTTGCCAGAATTCACCGACGGGGATATTAATCATCTCCTGCTTGACGCAGGCAATACCAATCCACATTATGGCAACAGCAATGATGCATTAATGATGCCCAACCTATAGCGAAGTATAGCGCGCGAGGGCGCGGGAACAATGAGAACACAACCACTCGTACGTACGTTCAACCAAGTTGATCAACAGAACAGATCGAGTGCGGAGAGAAGGCTTCCGAGTCTCTGTAAGCTGGAATTTCGAATAGCCTTCAACAACCTGGAAGCCGCAGGTCGGGGATCCTTGGACGGGCCATAACCAAATCAATGACATTCCCATTCATTCTGCTGGCACACTCGTTGCCTCCGGTGTAAGTGTGATGCACCGTGTACCTGATGTGAAGTTCCGCTAGTGCCCACTAAACTTTTTGTGTATATTGGAGATGGACCGTAGTAACGCAGTGTACGTGGCACTTCAAAATGCTTTTGATAGTATAGCTTCATGATTTTAAAGAGGACCTCTGCATAACAAGGGACCAGGTCAATGCACTCGTTATCATCCTTTACATGGGAATCATGGGATATCATGATGTCACGCCGAGATCCGTGTCAACACTCCATAGCGAGTCATGGAAGGCGCCCCACGCGCGTTAATTGTTTCACTTACACGTCACGTCAAGGCTCTTCATGACTCAGGCCCCAGTTACGGGTCTTAAATACCTTTCCCCAACGAAACGCGCTCCAGCCATCGCAAATATTGATCAACCCTATGAAAACGTGGCAACATCGGTGTATCATCAGCATCAGTTCACATCTAACTCGTTGTCTATGCCGCCACTGACGCCGCCCGTCACAGATTCTTGTCATGGCCTTCCAGTTGGGGGACCTTCAAACGTAAAGTCAGATACGATATTGGCATCTAACTCGAACGTGATCTATTATCTAAATCTGTCAGGAGATGTCACCGATACCTGTCACAATCTATTAATCTAGTATATGATATTCAGAGAGACAAGCAGCGGTCGTAATTTCCCCTTTGATCAGCACCCCACCATTCCGGAATAAGATGTGCTTTTCCAGTAGCCCCTTGTACCGCAAAGGAGAGAATGAATACCATGACTTGCGTTCCACCATCGAGGGCTATTGTACAGTGTGATATTAACAGTCAAAATCAGACGGCTACGAAACTTACCTGCACCGACCAAATAGTTGTATTCCACGAACCAACGCGGGTACCTAGTACGGAGCCACCACTGACACAAGAACGATACTATGTAATACGACACAACTGAAGAGTTTATTCCGGCGGAAAGCGCTCCAATGTAGTAGCTGTGTTGATAATGGGGTTTAGATATCTATCACCGACGAGTTCAGAGCGTACCAAATGATAGGAATGTAATAGTAATCCATCCGCAGTCTCGGCCAGTAACGGTGAATAATCCAGAAGGGAAGAGGCGCGACCAAGCCAATGAGATAGGACAGGGGGACCCATTGATACCTTTGACCAGATGAAAAGAGCTCGTGAGCAAGGCCACCCCACGCAATGGCTTGCGAGTTGTATGATTGAGGTTGCTGGCCAGACCAGATGTTTGTTCCTTGTACAGACAACAGGATTTCGCGTTGACTGTCGATGATGGAATTCATCAAGACTAGAACGACGACTCGGAGTCAAATATGGTGAATGGGTGGGTAAGATGACTCCCTAACCGTAGTTGAGAACAGCGCCGAGTAAGGTGCCAATGATCTGGGCTATGAATGCAGCTCGGGGAGGCAGTTTGGCATCTGAGGTGTTTGTCAGTAAGAAGTACCTCCCTTGACAAAGAATGTACACAAACATTGGGCAATCTTCAAATCACGTAGTAGCAGCAAAGCTTGAGACACAGTATTCTGGACAGTAACCCGAATAAAACGCTAATCAAGGCGACCATACGGATACGGACATAGCTGTAAAGGACCTGTCAACGACAACATCAGGAATGGTCAAAATCGGAATGTACATAAATACGAACAAAGAACATATTCGCCATGGGTCTTCCGTTGTGCAGGTAGCCAGCAATCATCTGGACTAGGGTTTCTTCGCTGAAAGATCAGCTCAGGACAGCTATAGCATATAAATAATACGTGCGGATGGAGAGACTAAGGCCAGTAATGGCGGATAACGCGCCAAAGAACAAGATAGACACAGTGGCCAAGAGGACTGCAATGACAAAGCCCCACCTCGAAAGACTCAATAAACTTTTCATCAGGTGAGGAATGTTAATGTTGCTCACCAGGGAAGCGTGGAATTTGTCTCGTAGATGACGACCAGTCCGACAATGAAAGAGAGAACGAACGTCAAGAAGTACCAACTATTCGGAGCATCTGGATACTGTATAGTAATACGTTGGTGGTAAGGTCTCTATCCGATGTCAGAAGGACTGACCTTGAGCATCTCCCGGTAGTGCGGGTCGAGGTCCTCAGTGTTGGCAGGGACTTCCCTCTCTCCACTGTGTTTCCAGAACTTCCAATCGAAATTAGCACGCCAACTCCTCAGAGTGTCCATGTTGATCCAAGTCCAGGCTGCACTAAGGTCATCTTTATTCCACAGGAGTAAGTGAGTGAACGTGGCAGCCAATCCCTGCAGTAGAAATATGAGCGAAATACTTTACATCAGTAGCGATTCTTGACATACGAGGTTCATTGACAGAAGGTTAACAATCCAGGTGCCGGCATAGAATGGCAGCCCCTGTTCTGCCACTAGGGTAGGATCCACCTCATAATTAGAATTCATAATCAAAGTCTGGTCGTAGACAGTCCCGTTCTCGTAAAAGAGGAGCTGCGCCAACTGATCGGTGCAATATTGTTAGCCAGGACATCAGAAAGTACAACGAGAGTTTTACGTACAAATGGGAAGTTTTGAGATTCCCAGATGTTGTTGTAGAATATCGCGATGAAGACAACCCTTCACCTCCCTCAGTAACATTGTACGATGCGACTGAAACCACGTACATGCAGAGAACATAACCAATGAAACTGGAGAGCTAGGAGTGATGTTATCAGAAGCGTCACACATACAGGATTGTCAACCACCTGAGCCCTCAGTGGAATAGCCATCGGGTTACCGGCATTACTCGAGATGTACTAAACTGAAGTTTAACCCCAAGTATCAACATATGTATCTGGACAGCGAGCTGCTACCTGCCAGTCGAAGCACAGGGACAATAGACCGAGGCCCTCGTTTCCATTGGAACCACCAAACACACGAGACACAGTAGCATTGCCAGGAGCGACAAGGCAGAATATTGACAGTCCGGTAAGCAGTGGGAATACCCATTCGGGAAAAATCTCCCATATAAAGA